GTCATGACGAAGAATTGCCTAATAGCTTTCTCCGTTTTAAGAAACAGCTACAACAAGAATAGGTATGCTCAGTGGCTGCGTCAACTGCTTGATACTAACGGTACCGCATTCATCGAAAACTGTCTGTTAATTTGCGACAATGCGCCATGTCACACGGACCTGGAGCAAGTTTCCTTGGAGGCAGCTTACCGAGCAGGGAAACTTCTGCGACTGGCCGCATAATCATCGCTTAACTCCATCGAGCGCATCTGGAGTATTATAAAGTCCTATGTGAAGCAAGCAATAAGAGCGCGCTATGCTGAAATGCTTAGATGTAACCCTACATGTGTTCTAAGCAAAGGCGAGAGGCGGACATGTTTTCTGGCGAAGGTGGTGCCTGAGGCACGAGCATAGGTGACACAGCAGCAATGCGGGCAACTGGTGTAGAATATTGTAAAGAATTACGCTGGTGTTATTCATTTAACAGGTAGCTAAACCATTTATTTGTAAGGAAATTACTTGTTTGTAAATGGAAGTGTTGTTATTTCACCATTGTGTACGGTCATAGTAGACAATAAGCTCTGCTTGAAATATGCAGTACGCAATGACACTTGCTCAATAGTAGTGCGCAATATCGTGCAGTATGGCCGTTGCCGTTTCTGCCCGGTGTAACAACCATGCGAGAGCTTGTGAACTCGTAGCGCATATGAATACCATTGTAGAGTTTACAATGATCGGAAATCACTTATTCGAGTTGTTTGTGTTTGAAGAGCAGACGGTAATGGATTTGGATACGGGCAGATCAGCGAAGAATACGGAAACATGCGAACATGACCGCGGTGAATAGGGTGTGTTGGTCATTTGCTTAGTGATTCATAGCAGAACGGGCAATTGGACGCCGCTGAAAATGACGATCGATGCGGGGCACAGAGCTAATGAGGACATAAAAAATAAAGATGTACATGATCGCGAGGGAATATGTTCCACTTAATGTGGGTGAAGATATCGCGCCCACCATCGAGGGATAAGCATCCCATAGGTCGGGTCCTAAGTGATTCTTCCATTCACTTACGGAGTTTCACTCGAGTAAGTGAACAGAGCGCACCCGATCTAGGCTGAGTATCGCCCAGATTGAAGTTGTCTTCATCACATGTCCCTGATTCACCAGAATCTGGAGCGCAACAGAGTGTTGCTTGTGATCGACGGAAAGGTGGCCAACTCACAGCCTGCGTCTGAGGTTACATCACTGATATTACGATTGGTCACAATGAAGGAGCCCAAAGACACAGAACACACCTGGTATGGAAAGTTATTGGATTTGAACAGGAATCATAACCATGGTAAAGGTATCACTACCTTCCACCATTATAATTGTCTTTTCATGCCATTTATGTTTTACTAGAGTGTTGTGGCACTCTAGCAATGGCACCTTGGTCTATATATGTATATATATGTATATATATATATATATATTGACCTAGGTGCTTTACTAAAGTGCCACGACGTACAGATAAGACACAAAGCCACGGCGTAGCGTAAAGTTAACGGGTTTGTCTGGTAAGCTGAGGAAGCGGGTTCGAGCCTGCTTAGGGACCAGGCAACCCTTTCAGTATCCTTAACACATGTACGACTGGTGGCGGTTGCGCGGCAGCGAAGCGTCGGTATCGCCTACCAGCGTACTGCTGATGCCTATCCTTTTCTTTCTTAATCCGTCATGCGAATACCATAGCAATCCAGACTACCGACATCTCGTTCCTAAGCTTCAAGTTTACCAATCGGTGCGCTCAAGTCCCCGATGAAAACCACGATATCCTTGGGGTGATTCTTATACAAAGATCGGAGCGTTGACGGTACAACTCATGTTTGGCTCAATCCGGGCTGCAACTCGATGGAATATGCACTATTGAGCCAAACAAACGGTTGGTTGTTCTTGACAGTCTGAGTCCACTTCAAAAGTCCACTTCAATAGTATATTCAGAGAGGGAACCAACATGTCGGTGCCTCGTGTATGGCACCCGGGAGTTTGCTTTCTTCCATCTTCTCTCTAATGGTCAGTGTCTACATAAGTCCCTAAATCTGATACTCTACCTAAGCTTATCAACCTTGGCTAAGGCGTGACCTAGCAATGCTCGAGATCTAACAACATCGGACTATGAAGAGTGCAAAATGTTGGTATCACCTCCTTTACTAGGAACAACTGGAAAATCTCAGGGTGTTTAGTGGACGCTAGTGTGGCTTTCAGGAGTCTTCAAATGCTTTGCGTTCCGAGTCACATATGCCATCATTTGCAACTCAGCCTGAACATCAAGATGAGAGGTACCAGCTTCAAACTGAGTAAACGATGCAGTTGTCTTGATTAGCGACGAATTTCCTTCTCCCATCTGGGTCTGCTAACCCTGGAAGGCGCGTCCAAACTCAGTTGGCTGCGCACCCAATTTAGTCATTTTCGAAAATCTCTTGTATATTGCGTTGAACTCCCCAAACTTTAAGCATAAGCGCTACTCTGGTATGCATTCCGGCGAACTAGCGTAACTCTGTGCTGACTAGTGGGTGACCTGCTCGTTCTTTACCAAAAGCATTATAAATTGTTTATCTGCTTTGCACAGTGCCATCTCATTCCCACAACTCGACTTCTAATCTTCCGTTACTCAGTTGGTTTGCTGATGCGCATTTCATTACGTCCGCATGTGTAAACTCTGCAATCGTAATTCCACTGTCACTAAACTAGGGGACCTATTAAACATATGCATTCTACTCGTCACAAACTGTTATTATATTGCTTCAGCTTTAAGGTGGTCAGCAATTGAGAATTGTCACGTACCTCCCTCTATCACTTTCCTAAATGTGATGCCATAGCTGGTTAGCTTACCCAGGTCCCATCAATGTACCGACATTATTGTAAGAAACTTTCTTCTCCGCAACCTCGCAATGCCTTCAAGTTGGTGACTTTTGTTCGAAATCAGTTAGGTAGACAAGCCTAAAGCCGCTCAAAAGACTAACTTACATTTCTGTAAATATTTCGATTAATAACAAGGTCCTAGTAAGCGGAGATATGATATCTCTACTCGAAATGCTAAACGTAACGACGGTGTCCAGATGCACGTTGTCTGCCAATGGTTACCGACAGGTGGTCTTCAGTGTGGTTCTAGTAGGCTCTGTTATGATACTTTTGAGCTATCCGGAAGGATGCAATGACTTAACCTCAGAGTAACACAGGTTTCGTCAACACTGGTCATCAGTCATAAACGGGTCAATAAAGAAAGCAGATGAAATGAAGCAATTTATATTTGTGGCTGGAACTTGGTGTATTTTTCTGGCCTCTCAAGTATTTCGCTATCGGATTCATGTCAATCTTTTTAAAAATTTCAAAAATTTAAAAGTAGTCCCCTGTTCTTGAATGAATAGAAAAACCCGCTTCAAGCAGTGACTGTAACTTCCATTGAAATTTTTCGGTTAGTTAATGCACGCCGCAGTGTTTGTAGCGACTGTGCCTATTTCTGGCAATACTCAGTAGGCTGGTGCTCGCACTCGCTTATATTTGTTTAATTTTACCGGAGGTTGCAAAGAAACTTATTAGCTGATAAGCAAAAACACCATTGCCTAGTCAAAACATACATGGACAGTGTAATTAAGCAATTAGTGAGAAATCCGTTCCACTATAACCTTGCTGAGTTGCGTACATCTTATTCAGTGCCAAACATGCAGCGATTTCCCTTTAACTTTAGGCCACAATGCTGCTATCCTCAATTGACCAGGGAAAACGAATGTGAAGTCAGTGCACTGCTTCGAATGTGGAGTAATTAATGTGCTTCTGTTTCAGTTATAGTTCTACTGACCAAATTGGCTGAACTTCACAACAAGGCGTGTTGCCGTCCCGATGGAAATTACTTGTTGGAATCCGTCCACGACTATTCCAACATTGCTCCGCACGTAATATTTGCGTTTTTGTTCCAACAGACCTCAGTTGGCAGAACTGATGGAAGGTCGCATATTCGGGAAACCAACGCGTCTGTCTTGGCTGCGTTGCGTTTGAACGGTCTGGCATATCCATCCTCCAGCACAAGGCTAATAACTTTGTACATCTCCCTGTGGAACATACCTGTCGATTTCGACGTCCATGAACGTACTTACGCTGTTATCAACCTCCTTCCTATTATGACATCAAGGCCTGTTAGGGACTAGTTAACTATCGAATACCAGAGCAGATTGAAGATCTCAGGGGCAGGCAGCAGAATTTCTAATGATCGGCCAGCTACTGAAGAACCCCACCGATATACCACTTTCTTTGATTTACATCACAGTACCAACTTGTATGTCTCACGGTTCGAACTAATCACTCGGTGCTGCAAGCTGACATTTCACCAGAATATCACCCCTTCTCCGAGCATACCGGTGACACAAGACGTTTATCATTGACGAGATTCTCATTCCTGACACTGCATGACTAGCCCAGACTTAATGTTTCTGCTGGTACCAGTTCACTTTCCCATTGTACTCTTTCAATGCCTTGTGTACATTTAAGATGTTATAGGAATGCTAACGGGTGCATAAATGCTACAATATAGTGAACCACCATTGTCCTAGTAGCCATGTGCAATTAGCAACTACCTAGACGTTTTCTTGTCTACAGTGGAGTACCTACAATGTTTCTCAAATTCCGATTTGTGTTAGATATTTTCTCATACAAAAATGTTGTAATATGCTAGAAACCAATAAGTAAGGTTGGAAAATGAGCAGATTGTGTACTCGCTAGAATACATTCCATTTCGGTACAGGGTTTAATCAAGCCAAGAAAACAATTGGATAACAGATGTTTTTTTACAGAGAAATCAGTCATTCTTCGGCTGGTCAAACAAAAATACAACTCATCCGATCGTTAATATTGAAATTTAAAGTAACCGTTTTGACATAACTGATGTCGTTTACTTTTAACTACCTACTCTACAAGCTTTCTCCAAAGTGCATGACTTCCCAATTAATTGTCGTTTCAACATAGTTGTGGTTGTCATGATCAAGCTCACCTTTATCGCTTTCATGCCGTGTAAGCCGGGGCTGAGCGACCAAATTTTCACCCAAGGTTTCCAGTCTGTGTGAAACGGTGTCAAAACGCAAGAACAGGGCCGACTGCATTGAGAGAGAGAGTATGCAAACGTAATACGCATGTACGAAACTAGTCTACGGAAAGGATGCAAAAACTGTTGGGCCGAATGACCCGCCGTTGTACCGTAAGTCTGGTTAGATGGATCCACGGGCTTGTGTACACAAATGATTGCATATCTATTACCCAATTTGGCAAACATCTCTTCGCAGATAACCCGAACATTACACGCTTTCAACATCCAAATACACAGCAGATAACCAATATCTAAAATAATTTAAAGAATTATTGCTAGCTGGGTTGCAATGTCGTAGATGAGGTTTTAAGCGTCTAAACTTTGTACTTCGGTGTAGAGATGTCATGTGGAGCCAAGATTATTCACATTTCTTGAGGTTATTCTATTTAATCCTCTGTCCGCGACTTAGATTTGAGATATTCCAATTCGATAGACCTTATTGAACATACCATGGCTAAGAAAGCGATTGGGTCCATATAACTTTGAAAGAAGCCGGATCGATTGCACTCCGATTTGCTGTGGGAGTTTTGCATGAACATTGCTCCGTTACATATTGTACTCGTTGTAGCGATGATTTGAAAGCCATCATAAACGTCCAGCGGACCTTCACAAATAGTAGCCTTGGCTATTTAATCCTACTTTCATTTAGAGATTGTTGTAGCGAGGTGCAAGTTTATTTTGTTGTTATCAGGAAGACTGTATTTACATCGACGCTTTCTCCACACACACATGTGGCGAATAGCATACAGTGAAAGGTACAAGTTACGATTTCGATTAGAAATTAAAGACATACGCAACACTGAATGTGTATTACATTGCGTTACATCCGCCGATGACACTGATTAGTTAGTTCAGCCACACCGCGTTCTTATTGGTTTACATTACATTGATCAACCAATAGTTCTTCAACTCATGCTTTAAATCATGTGTCATGTGAGCCATGGACGAAGTTCTTCGCCCAATACACGTTGCTTCGTACTATGTCTTGTTCTTGCTTAAATGCGGTCTGGAGGCGTACATTGCTTTACTATGTATTAAATTGCCCAGATACAGAACAAGTCAGAAAAAATGTTTACTTCGTAGAAATTGAGTCAGTTGGAATAAGCTGCCTAAAGAAGTCAGATGTACTGGGCATTTTTACATTCAAGAAAATTGTATGGCTTATCTTTTAGGTGAAGGGGGGATCGCATCTAAAATTCACGCCTGCGATTAAAAGCTGATTGTAGTAGAAATGGACCATACATGCTATTAGATAATGTCATTTGCTCACGCGTTACACTAGGTAATAATACCGGACACCTTACGAAAATTGAGAGTCTATTTGAACTTAGGCATCCAAACAACTTGACTTCACTTATAATTCCAACTGATCCTACCACATTTCATCTCAGTCCCGCTCCTAACCTCTACTGACGCTGGGTGACCGTGCACGTCATATTCCAGGCGAACACCGATATATATTAAGCATGAAGTTGACAGCGGAGCCTCAGTACTAATGCGTCCAGCATATGTTTCACCTCTACGTCCACCTCATAGTATCCTTCTTGTTGCGTTCTGACCTAACCTTCCCTAGTATCCCTACCTGTCTCCTTTTCGTTTAGTTCTGTGTTCAGCATTAGCCTAGAGAGGGTGTCACATCGTTTTGCAGTTCTTTTCATTTCTAGGTCAAATTGTCTTGTTTTTTTCCTTTTTTGGTTAGTTTAGACGCACCCACGTTTTCACACGTTCACGTAATCATTGATTTTAATTATCTGCCATTTTTAATCGTCTTTACTTCTATCCAGACCACCAACCTATGCATAACTAATGAAAGTCCCAATGACTGCATTTCGTGTACTTGTGTTCAGACTTCTGTCTTAAAAGACAGACACAAGAATCATTTTAAATTACCTTACATGGGTCCTAATGCACAGTAGTGGAAACCACGTATTGCAATGAAGCACAACATTCACTTAGTCATTTAACATCTTCCTGGTACTGTGTATATTATTTTTTTCGTGTATTCATTTTCGGTGCCTTATTATCCTACCTATGACCAAATTGTTGATTACATGATTCCTTCTATGCTCTGTTGCCCTCTCTAAGTACAAGTTCTCAGGCAATACTCAGTCAGCATGGGCCGAATCACGAAGAACCGTTTCTGATTCGGCCGGTTGCGACTTTAACGAGAACGAACGTCATCAAGTGTCATTGGTGTACCTCGATGACAGATCATAGAAACAAACTTCTGGGGCTGTCTGCTGTTACCTGCATGTTGCCAACCGCGAGTGGTGCGGGCTACCCATTGTAGCGCTCCAGAGCATTTGCTTTGTTTATTCTGGGCTATATTTAGCCCAATTATGTGTACAGTGATCAGACCTCGTCAAGAGGACTGCGTTTCAGTTTACCGGGAAATATGCCATATGGTACTGAGAGCTAACACGACCGGATAGTTATCCTAACAACTGTCGGCTTTTTGCTACTCCTGTAAGAGAGAATTAGACAACGAGCGTTTTGACAACTACAGTACGGCAGCTGAGATAAGTTGAGATAAACAGTTGTGGTCAGGTTTGGAGGCCATCATGTAATACATGGAGGTAACTGACTGTTGGTTCAGAGCCACCACTTGCAGTGATCCCATACTGAGTATATCGCACACGGTTGATGAGCAAAAATACTATCAGAAACCTTGTAATTGTACCAGGTTACTTTGGAAAGTATGTAACACGAAGTTGGCATCTGGTCTCATTCAAGTCGCCCCATGATTACACTTCATTGGCCATCTTGTGTCTAATCCGTCGTCAGATCGGGTGGTAGGTTTTCGGATAAGCGTCTGATGACCATAGCCTACGTACGGGTAAAATGTTCGGACAGTATTTCGTCAACCATAAGGGAAGAAGCAACCAAGTTAATCATGCGAGTTATTGATCAAACCAGCTTAAGACCGGGCCTGCATAGTCTTTGTGCCTGCTGGGGAAAACACAGCAACATTTCATTAACGAAATTATTCGACGGAGACTGAGCTATGGATCACTTCGTAAAAAACCATAGTCCCATTTGCTGCCACATCTTTTAGGTTAGCAATAGACCCAAACTACTAGGCCACCAGCTGAAGCTTGCTACCCAAATCAGCTGGTTAAGGTACCGCTGGTTGAATATCGAGAAGTTAAATAAATTCAACACAGAATTCAGATGGCCGAATAAATTCACATACTTGTGGTGGCCTAGGAAACGATTAAGCCAAACCAGCTGAGCTAAATTGTAGCAAAGGTTGCAGAACTGAATTTCACTAGAACCTTAAATAAAACAGCTGGGTTTTTTTTCCAAACTACTCCTGTAAATTAACACAGCAAGTAATAATAAAATCATTAATTCTATGCCCGGTTGCTCATTTCTCTTGCTAGAAACATATGCATCTATTTGAGTAGCGCTTTGATAGATGTATTTGCTGTCTTTCAGTTAGCCTGCATCACGTGTAACTTCTGTTAGCAGGCAAAGTGCGACTGAGCACGGCGGCGATTATACAAATACGACGCAGTTAAAGCTCCTGATAAGAATCCGGGGAGAAATGTTCCCTTATAGCTACATGAATTAGGTAAACATTTAACCAAACCTACGTAACCGATATCATGTCTTCTCCGTTTTATGCTGTGACATTTAGCAGACGAAGCGAACTGTGGTAAGATAAAACCAAGCAAATGTTTCAGCTGGCGTCTATTTTCAAACCACGGTCTGCTGGTCGCTGAAATGTATTTTAAGAATAAAAGTGGAGGTCATGGTCAGTTAGGTCTGCTCGAAATTCATACATAAACAGAATTGGGAAGTGCTGAGTTGAGATCTGTGTGACGCAGGCAGCAACACCCGCGGGGTGTCTATTAGTTCGGTGTCTATTAGTTCTTTCATCCTAATAAAGCTGCAGGAAGGTCAACAATATGTGCAGTTGGTGAATGTAACGTGAATCATAAGGTTTGCTTAGTGAAGAGGTGCATACCCCTAGCTTGGTCTACATGGACGACTGAATGGTGATCTTATTCGGCCCTGTGTAAACTCACTTGTTTGCATAAGGTTGGTATGGCAATAATGTGGCACTTTCACTCATTTCTCTGTGCAGCGGGGACGACTGGGGTTCGTCATTTTGGCCATGGTCGCATGTTATGTGCGGAATGCCCCGTTTGACTGATTCAATCCATTCGGTGGACTTGAAGTTTGAAGCACCTGTTGTGATTGGTTTGTCCGGCCGCCGTCTTAATGTGGAAAATCTTGCTAAGCGCGAAAATCCTCCCCTTTCCATTAGCGAATAAGAGGATGTTAGGCTATGGATGAGAATGCACGAAAGTCATATTTACGAAGTGTATACGTATCGTCGTTCGGTTTACATTAGTAACAGGCAGTCTACCCAATAGCAGTTCCAATTGGGCATGCTTCAAACCATTTTCGGCCGACTATCGGGGTAAGAATACTCCGTCAAGGAAATTGATTGACTGTTGCTATAGCTTCGTCAGTAAATATACTCTACGCTTTTTATTGGCAACTAGGGGTGGACCCGTATTTTTAAACGTTAAACAACATATTTTGTGTGGTATTGCCTCAATACTATATCTCCATTGACTTGGGAGTTCACATAACAAAGTAAAGCCTTATGGTAAATCAACTTCATACACAATTTTCTGTACTCTTTGGCTGTAGATATTTGTGGTTTCACTATTGCGAGACCCGTGTCCAGTTTTATTATGAGTGGCGTACGGTTGGCACTCTTTGGAGCACATTAAATTTTGCACGCAACAACAAGGACCTCCTGTAAATTGCATTTTGAAATGCTGTCCATGAGACGAAAGCATAGTCTCGAATAATCTAGTAATAGCTGTATTGGAAATGCAACTCTTACTCAGGCATTCAAGATAACTTCCTTAGAGCATAATAAACATGTCTTTAAACAACTCTGTGAAAGTTGATATTGATAAATGCCTTCTTCTAGACGACGACCTAGACATCCCATAGGCGACCGATGTAACTGTAACTACATAATCCACAGGCCTCAAGGTTGCAGTACATTCAGCTGTGTGATTGAGCAACCGGAATCGGGCAAGTTGCCCTTCTAAATATCAATTTACATGCACTCATATCCAGAGGGCACCAGCCACAGTGCTTTCACATCAATCCACATTGTGATGTTCAATCACGAAGCAATTGAAGCATCCATACATATGTTAGATCACATGAGATACTGATTCGAGGATGGACTAAGATGTTTGGGCTACGGTACCCTAATGGGGTTGACGCTGCTACACCGTTTCCAACTTTCGATGACTTACACATACATTCGCTTAATGAGGCTCCGACGAGTAAAGACCCGAACTCTGTGTAAATCCATTCGTTTGGCACTGAGTAACCGCTGCAAATCGATATGCAAGCATTTAAACGAATCCCGTGAAAGCATTGCAGAAGGCGGATGCTTACGTGTATCAGTAGTCTGGTGATCATTACGTCAGCCGTTAACTATTAGGCGCCTAGTTTCCCTCCAAGCTCAGGGTATCCTGATGGACAGACCGTCTAGCAAACAAGCTCATTTTTTCGGCAATTCATTGTCAGATAATTATTGTAATCATTAAGATAAAAATGGAGGGAATAAATAACTAAAAACTGAAGATGTCAAAATGACCATAACGGGTGTGATTTGTTCGCGGCTGAGCCAAAGACTTGACAAATTGTTTATGCACATAAACCAGGGGATCGTTGCGACCATTCATAATCGGCTCCGTCCATGCGTCCAAACTACCATTTATTATTTGAGTACGTGAATGTGTTGTATTCGGCTGGACGATGAGTCACCGAAAACAGTTTGTTCTCTAGATCAGCTTTTCATAACTGAACCGGGAATTGTTCATCATTCGAAATAAACAAAATATCCCACCATACACCGGAAGCTTACTAAGTCGCTGGCCGGGAACAGAAGACAAGGTTACTGTATATGTGGGTATGTGTTCAATTCGCTCCATTGGTAATTGCAACTGCCCCCCTTACACGATGTTATAAATTCACACATCTGCAATACGCACTTGAAAATATGCAGATAAACCTTTTTGAAATTAAATATTGTGACACTCTTGTGTTAACTTATCTGCTAAACATTGCTTCGTGAACTAATTGTTTAAATTAATAAGTATAATGAGTGCTGTACTCAGCACTCGGGAGCAAATATCACACTGCGATTTGTAACAACTGAATCTATCGTGACGAATATCCATAGCATTATTTCATTATACTTCGATTAAATTCTGAGAACATAAGCGAGGAGGAGCTACGGCCTCTGGACATAAATTAGCATAATAGGTGGACTGAATCTCTGAAATTTGGAAGGAAACCTGCACATTGCATCGGGAGTGCTGGACCACTTAACTGAAAAGAAAATGATATCATTTGGCACCCACGTAAAAATGACTGCCATGAAACGGAAACACCCGAACAGTGATATAATAAAAGTAAACATAGTCAAGGCTTGACAGATCCCGGGGGATGATTTGTGTGAATTATGCAACGAGAACAAGGGACAGAAAGTGAACCATTGTTTTCGATGACTCGTCCTCAGACCTGTACAACCATAGCAATTGGCCTAATAGTGGATTCGAGCAGTCCAAATAAACTTAGATCACCTGCTGACTAGGGGCATAAACCAGTACCAAACGTAAGCGATGAGCGTCAACTGGGGCAAAGGTGTACATGAATCGTCGCAGCTGAACTCAGAATCATCCACATCCTCTGGTCAGGGTAAGTTAAGGACTTCGAGTGCGCTTATGGTGCCACTAACGTAGATCGAACTGCATAGCACCCGTCGAAGTGCATTAATGAGCACCTTCCAGGCTGGTTGCGTCGTGGTGGTAACGGGGCTATAAATAGCTCTGTTATGGCTCATCTTGTTGATAGTGGACATGATGTTGATCAAAGGTCATCTTCACACATGCATGATGTGTGTGCTCCTGGTTCATTTGGATTATTCCCCTTTAACCTCCCTCGATCTTCTCGCAACCTTGTCACTGTAGGTTCATTCGTACAGGATTTACTAGCCCTACACAGTGATCTATCATAGGTGAATATTTTCTACCATTAGCGTATGGGCCGTGAGTAACCGTTTTCACTGGCATCCGTGATTAACCACAAGCGGTTAACTCAATTACATTGAGCCGATTGCTTTTCTGCGTGACACCATTCGACAGAGAATTCTCGAGGCAGGCCAAAAAGCCTAAACTTATTCCCATCCAGTGTTTCTCAATACAGCTTTGGAAGAATTTGTAATCTAAATCTGTGTTCAGCCCGGTATTCAGATTCAGTTAGCAGGTTCCAGCCACCCGCCATTCCTTGTGACCTTGTCAACCAGTGTGACTGCATGACCCATCACACGGACCGCGCGACCACGCCGACCGCTCATTTGATCTTGCAACCACCACGCTCGCCTGACCGAGGTGCGTTACTCTCAAAGCGGACAAAGTACAGAACGATAACCAACCCACTGGGTCAGGTAACGATACCAGTTTGAATGGCAAAAATGCGCAACCGAAAAGGCTCCAAGCGAAAGGCATTTGGGGGTTAGGAAAATGTCATCGAGTAGTTAAAATCGGTCTGGTTTGCTCGCACTGTTTGGAATGGTATTATACGAAATGTGCAAATGTGTCCCAACAACAGGTACGAGATCGAAATAGCTCCCAAAATGCACTTTGGTTCTGTAATGTGTGCTCCACCATCCAACTCGTTAAGTGCTTGCTTATCTCCTTCTGTTCTAAACACCGTTAACGTGAACAGAGAGACAAACAGCCAACTATCTTGTCAGCAGGTCAGGACAATCGAGTAGCCTACTTTGTAGATCAACGAAAAAGGGATCCAACAGCAGTGCTTGGAGTGTTGTGTGCTTAAACATCCCTGAATCGACCGCCTTATATTGTGGGATAACTTATCGGACGACCAAGACCCATGGAACCCATTGTGTATGTAGATGAGTGTCAAAACCAAGCCCATAAACTTATTACGCATTACTCGTCATCCGAACTCGCCGCACTATGGAGAACCCAGACTTATTCGAGTAATACCAGAATCCTTCACCGACGTAGCCAACGTTTTGCTCATCGCAAGTACGCGAAAACACGGATCCTGTGGGATGCACATCGATCCTAATGTCCCTTGGAGCGCGTGATAATCTAAACGCAACACCGAAGAGGGGCCAGCAAGCAAGACCGCCAAAGCACAATCTTTAAATATGGTGTTTAAGAACATCCTTCTATAGATCTTTAACAGACCGGAAAGCACCATTTAGAACAGTGGAGGTTTATTCGTGAAATGTTGGATATTATTGTAGGGCTGTCGCTCACCAGGATGCCTCTCCTATCAAATTATAGAGGATGCGACCCTAGAATCCTTAAAACTTGTGGTTCACTCAGGGCAACAAACAACAGACGTTTAGGATGGATGGGGGAGAAATCGGAACCGACTTCCTTCTAAACTCCGGTAAAAGCTCGCAGAAGCTTTGCATACCTCAAATATTAAAACACCTGAAGCAGCAAGCATACCGACGAATGTACAGAAGCGTAATTTGACTAATGCCTTAACTGACTCTGACGTAGGTGTAAAGAAAGGTTTAGGCGCACCTTGGCCAAATGAAGTTGCAGACGAGGTATCATTATCCCATCAAAAAACGACCAAATCCAATCATTCGGCATTCTCCCACGCTTGACCCCTCACGTCTCTGTCGGCTCCTACAGACCGAGAAACTGGCCTGCTTCTATACGAATGCTTAGTGTATTTTTAATAAACTGGCCGAACTGAAAGATCGCCAAGCTTCCGGGTCGTAAGATGTCACGGGTATCACCGAAACGTGGTTGCACACGGGAATAACGGATGGCGTAGTTTCATTACCGGGTATGTCGCTGATCCGGAACGACTGGCTCACAAATGGAGGAGGGGTAATTCTGTATTACCGAAGCGACTTCCAGTGCGAAACCATAGAGGATACAGACTCGCATTTCTCCGACTCTTTGGTGCCACCTGCAGTTAAAAGGCAGGGATGCTTGCCTTATTGTCTTGGTGTACCACCCCCTAACTCTACACCCGAGAAGGACTGCCATCTAGCGGCTGTTTTAAGATGCATTTTACAACACAAGTAGACTTACATTCTTATCATGGGTGATTTCAACGTACATTGTGTAGAAACTCGTGCCACAATCTTAGAACAATTCAAAGCCGATCTACAAGAGCTCATACACATTGATCCTCTTTACAATCATATCACTTTGCCCACTCGGTTCAGAACAGGTAACAGGCCATGTGT